AATGTATATAACATAATTTTATAATTGCATAAATATAACAATATTATAGCAATATAAACATTATAATTCAACAATAAGAAGAGATTTAGAAATGCAAGTCTTAGGGAGTCACTTCAAGGATATTGTCCTGAAATCGTGTTATTTTCCCTTCGTGCGGGTTCTTTCAACACTGCATGGTTCTAAGATAAATCTCAGGTTGCTCACAACTAATTCTCCTTCTATGGGCACGATCATAAAGAGATAAGTTAACAAACATTTATCAAATTGTCAAAAGTATATGAACAAAATGTATAGACAGTACTTTCAAATGGTTTTACGATATATACAACAATGAAATATAATCACCTTTTATAGGTAAATTTCAACCCCCTCATTTATACCATTTAAAAAACAAGTTATAATATGTATTATGGTGTTTTAATTTTATATTGAAATTGAAAATTAAAAGGTTTTAATTTAAAAGGTTGAAACTTTTATTCTTAAGTTACAACATCCTCGACTAAAAATAAAAATAAAAAAAATAAAAAATTCTAGTAGCAATTTTCTTATTTTTCAAGGCCAACTTTAAGAAAATCTAAAATATGGGCTCATTTATTAAGGCCTGTTTCTCTATGTAAGAAACCATTTCTTACTGTTGTAAGTTTACTCTCTTTCATACTAAACACCAATACATAATATTTCTTCGTATTGGAAAAGTAGATTCTTTTAATTTTTTATAGGGGCCTTTTTATTAGTAATATGATCTAAAAATAATTTAATTTTTTTTTTACTTATTTTTTATCCAGTTTAACTATTGGTCCTTTCTCTTTTTCAAGTTAATGTTCAATTTGATTTTTAAAATATTGATATTTAGAGTAATGTAATTCGTAAACATACCTAGGATAGCGCACGTGACGACTAAGGTTCTACAAGAGCTCAACTGAAAGGGGATAGGGAGGAAAATTCGACGATTGGAAATAGAAACAGTGCAGGCTCCCGATTTTCTTCCCTCTCTCTCTCTCCGATTTAGCTTTGTTTCCCTCCTATGCTTCATATTAACAATAAACTAAGGCACCGTTTATAGGCACCAATTTTCTAGGGAAATTGGAATTAGAATGCCAACTTTTGTGTGTTTGATAGTGTTATATTTTCCATGGAAATTAAGTTCTTGAATTTCTTGGGAGTTGTAGTTTTCTAGTTTTGTGGGAAAATCAATTCCCACCAATATAGTGGGAATTGATTTTCCAGGTAGTTCAAGTTTTTTTTTCTCCTTTTTTTTTTGTTTTGGTATTGGAAACAAATTCTAAGAATTATTGTAAAAAAAATGTTTCCCTTTAATTGATAATTTTCATGTAAAA